TTGTTCTGTGATCAAGGTTGCTATCCATGCTATAGGCGACAAAGCGAATGACATGATCCTTGACATGTACGAATCCGTTGCTGCAGCCAATGGAGACCGGGATAGAAGATTTAGGGTGAAGTTTGATATTTATAAGTTCTTTTCCTCTGAGCTATTTGCTTGCTCATTTGCTTCGTCTGTCAGTACTTAACATCTCTGAGATGCTGCTTACAGATTGAGCATGCGCAACATTTGGCACCAGGATCTGCCGACCGGTTTGGTCAACATCACATTGTAGCCTCAGTGCAGGTTAGTCAATTCCCAGCTTCGAGGCATTTTGACTTCAAACTCATATGATTGAACTAACAATATCGAAGGCTCGTGAACAGCCGGATCATTTGCTTGATGATGCTGATACTGCTCCTAAGAAGCTCGGTTTTGATAGAGCTCAAAAGGAGTCTTATCTGTTTCAATCTCTCTTAAATAGCAATGCACTCTTGGCATTTGGTTCAGACTGGCCTGTACGTTTCAGATAATCTCTCCATCTATAATATGTTAACATAGAAAGATTTGCATGTTTTCAAACTACGAATTCAAGCTTACTTCGTTGGTCTTTGCTTTAGGTGGCAGATATCAACCCGTTGCACAGTATCAGAACCGCGGTTAAACGAATACCTCCCAAGTGGAACCACGCTTGGATTCCATCTGAATGCATCTCTTTTACCGATGCATTGATTGCGTAATAATCCTCTGCTCTAGCCTTTTTGAAGTCTCTGCTCCGCTTAACTAAATGCATTTTTCTCAAGCATTCATATGCAAATTGTAGGCACACGATATCAGCGGCACGAGCAGCCTTTCTTGATAATCACTTGGGGTCTTTATCTCCAGGGAAGCTTGCAGATTTTGTCATATTGTCAACAGATTCCTGGGACGAGTTCTCGAGAGACGGCTCTGCTTCGGTTTTGGCAACGTATGTAGGAGGAAAGCAAATGCATCCATGATATATGATGAAGTTTCTATCCCATAAACAAGGTTTGTAAACTAAGTATCTGATAAGTGCTCTGTTTCTATATGCATTGTAAATATATGTATACATAAATATAAAAAATTGGCTTATCAATTACATAAACGTTAATTGCAAAATGGATGGGTTAGGTGCACCATTGCTTCTCGTCTTCTAAATTCACACTAGATCATTGAACATTAAAGTATGTGTCGATGTCACATAAACGAATATAATCCAAAATATGTGAAATGTAAATTCGTTGATTTGATCTCATTAAAACTATGAACAATTAATTTAGACGGTTAAGACAATGGCTTCTGTCATGTCGTATCCAAATTGCAAAAAAAAAAAGATGATTGTGTAATTGAATTTGATAATGCAAAACCGTAACTATAGAGAAATTAAAAACTTTTAGAAAACAAAATATCTCATAAAAAATTAAGTTTGGTTTGGTTTTCTTAAGAAAATTGTTGGTGTCGGCAAAAAAAGCAAAAAAGTTGTTGGTGAGAGGAACTTAAGAGAGAGTCAACAACATTTGCAAAAAAAGGTTGTCTAGTGAGGGCCCAAGCACGAGTCACATGGCGAAGGGGAAACTCTCTTTAGACGCGGAAGAAGAGCCTAAGCCAATGAGAATGTGTGGAGCTAGCTGTACTGTCTACGTGGCTATCTGGTTCCAGCCGTCAACTCGGTTTGGTTCTACCACATGGCACTTATTACTGAGCAGAGAGCCCCCACGTGTTGGCTTTTTATTTTTCACGCGCGAGATGACCTGATTGGTCGGCTTACGTCTGGATTCTCTCTGGTCCTAGTTCAAGTCATTTTTCGCCACGTAAAAATCTGATGATTCTATTTTTCTCACGCGAGAAACCTACGGAGTTGTTCTCCAAATCCAAATTCAGATCAAGCTGTTTTTTTGTACGAAAACAAGATTATACAGCTTTTTTATTTATTTTCTATTCTAATCATAGGGCCAAAGTGTAAAACTGATTTTTTTAAAAAATGCGTACCAATATATGGATACGATTATTTGCTAACATGGTGTGTGTGTGTCAGTGTGTGTGTGCGTGTGTGCATGTGTATAAGATATTGGATAATGCACCAAGAAAAAATAGTGAAATGTTATAACAATTTGGATAGTTACCGATAAAATTTTGTAAATAATGGTTGGAGAGACACGAGTATGCGAGAAAAGAGACACAAATTAAAGTGGGAAAGATTCATCTCTAAAACGTGAAAGTAAGATATGATATGTCTTAATGAGTAGCTATAGAGTATAGACACATCTCATTCCCCTCCAGGCTTTTTTTTAGTTAATAAAAAAAATCATATTGTCGTGGTTTAAAATTTTTATTCTCGAAACTAATGCACACATTAGTTTTCGTTCTTTTATTATTCCGCGGAAACCAATTGAATCTGCTGTGCTATATTTTCAGAACGTGAGGTTCTAAAACCTTAAACTCTCTCTAATTGAGATATGTAGTATAATTTCTACAGTTTTAGTATTTGTGACATTAGGTAACCAAAATCCTCACAAAAACATGTTATAAAACGAAGTGCCTCCGTCACGAGACGAAAATGTGAAATCATGTTATGTGTGTGTGGATGTGCACGTGTATAGAACTGAATTGTTAGACTGCATGTCGACTATACAAACTATTTAATCTTTAGATATTAGCATATTGTCTCGACGACAGGTGGCTGATTGTTGGATATGATGATCTCCAATTTCGATATTGGATATTTAATGGAATACGTTCCCATTCGTTTTCTATCACCACAAATTATGTCCATGACATATCTTGAGTGTTCACAACAGCTAAGCAATATAATGATTTCCTTTTTCTATTTAATTTGTTATCTCTTCAACTATATATACGGTCTAATCACTGCTTCAATTCAAAATTGATGATTAATGAAAATTATACCTTTTTTGTTATTGCTACAGGTTATTTATATATAAATTACTGAACGCAAAAGAAGATTATTGCGTTTACATACATTTCTTAAAACTCCAACCAATTACAGTTTATTTTTATTTTTTACTTTGTCAAACCACTCCTCTTATATTCGAGATCTAACTTCTAAGAACACCTCCATCGGTGGTATGAGGAGGGCTGTAATTAATTTATGAGCTGAAAAAAAAACATTTAATGCATTTTCAAAGCAGATACGGTTCTACTTTTGCATTCTGCAGAACCTCAATAGAGATGATGACGTGTCAAACTGACGATTGGTCATTGATTTTTTTTTGTTTATTTTATTGAAATCTCTGAATGATCAAGAAGTTTTGCTATTTTTTTTACTGATTATTTGGTCGATGGAACCAACCGATGTATTTCATCGGATAAAAAATTTATGTAATGTTTGTTTAAATTTCAAATTAATAAAATAATTTGTATTCATAAAATATTTATATTTTAAAAATTATAATTAAAAAAAACAAAATTTTTTTTTTAGAACTCCTCATTACATCCTACCATTGGAGGTTCAAATTTGATAAAGATATAATTAAGGTTCTAAAATCAACAAAATAATTAAAACCATTAAAATAAAGAATTAGAGCCCCTAACTACATATTAGCGTTGAGGGTGCTCTAAGGTGTTCACTTACTTATGCACCATAAACCGCCCTAAAAGTCCAAATTAACTACGATCAAAGTATTTGTTGCCGATCATACTCTTATTTTCTTGGGTACCAACTACATATTACTTTTTTAATTAGTCTAATTTGGAAAACAAAAATTATAAAAACTTAATATTATACATTTTTAAAAAGTAGTTGATATAGACCCGTTTGTTAGGAAGATAGGAGAATTATTATATTAAAATTAGGAACAACTGAAGTCAAAAAAATGTGATAAAGTGTACAGATTTTTGAAAAGTTCTTCATTTAATAGTACAAATCTGGTTAGCTGCATATAATTTTCAAAGATCTGTCTCTTTTAAGTAGATACGATAAGTCGATAAGAACAAATAACTTTCAAAGATTGAAGAAGATAAAATTAATGTTTTCAATTTCCAAATCAAACGTACTATTTTCCTGGTACATAATGAATAAAGATCATGACACCGACATAACAATACTATTGATTAATTATTTGAAGTTGGAACGTTACAATCGGAATGTTGAACTTTAACTCAAAACGGGATTAAGAAACACAAAAAGGGAGACCAAAGTCAAAGGCTAGCTAGGGTCCGTTCCACTCTCTTCCCAAAGTCCTTAAACGCCATCGAAAGGGATTCCGACCAAACCCTCATGTACCCTCTTATTTTATTTTACTTGAATTTTTATTTCTTTACGTAAGACTTGACTAATTATCAGTATACATCTTTACATCTTATCCATTGATCTAATTTTAACGAAACAAAAACAAAGACTAAAAGTCATTAACTATAAGAAGCCGAACAAAATAAAAATATTTGTTTAAGATAATCTCATTGTTTCAGAAAATAAAAATATTTGTTTGGAGTATTATATATTTGAATTTAATTTGAACAAAAGCTTAAAACTGAATTCTGAAATAAATTAAACTTTATTCTTAGCTACATTTTATACTTTTTTTGTTTCATGATTTGTATGGAATGAATTAGATATTCGGCAGTTATCAACAAGCTTTTCACAACTAGATAGATCATGTATCCATATTTTTAATAAGAAGAACATAAAATTTTCTATATTTGGAAATTTTATATTTTGAATAAGAAGAACATAAAAATTTCTATTTAAAGAAAGATTTAGAAAAACACCTAAAAGTAAGGAAAACGTACCGTATAACTGAATGTATTCGTTAAGATATATATATATATATTATAATTGAAAGTTTCCATTAAGAAAAAAAAAACATTAATAAGGGAAATAGCCGTTGTTGTACGTTGACTTTCAAACTACATATGATCTTTGTCTGTCTTATTTTCCACATAATGACGTCTTTATACTCTGTTTCCTATCCATTTCCCTTCACATGACTCTCTCATATTTTCTCCATCTATATATATATCCTCCCATTCTTATATATACAAATAAACTCGTTACTTAAGAAAAATGGCTGATTTGGATTTGCAGAGGAAGATGGTGTCTCCCAAACTCCACGTCACCATTCCGGAGCTGCTTAAGCTCTCCTCCTCCTCCTCCTCTTCCTCTGCCTCCGCCTACGAGCTCTACCTCCGTTTGCCGGAACTCAGGAGCCTCTGGTCCTCTCTGGATTTCCCTCACTGGATCTCCGAGCCTATTCTCAAACCAGCTCTTCAAGCTCTTGAGATTACTTTCCGTTTAATCCAGAACGTTGCTTCCGACACACGTCCTTACATCAACCGCCGTGAGTGGATCCGACGGTTGGATTCGCTCGCGACGAGCCAGATCAAAATCGTGGCCTCAATCTCCGAGGATGAGGAGGAGACGGAATCGACGGCTCCGATCAGCAACAGCTGGAGCTCGCTGAGTCTGTTACCGGAGATCGCAACGTGTCGTGCATCGGAGAGCATTGGACAGAAGATCTTGTGTACCATCGAGAATGAGATGCGTTGGTGTAAGTATACACTCGGTTTAGGTGAACCAAACCTCGCCGGAAAACCGTATCTCCAATACGACGTCGTTTGTCGCCCCGACGAAATACACAGAGTCAAGAACAATCCATACGCCGATCACATTGATAACATGGAGAACCAAACACTATACACTATTCACCAGATTTTTGAATCTTGGATTTACGCTTCCGTGAGTCTCTTGAACCGAATCGTCTCGAGAATCGACGAGGGAAAGTTCGAAAAAGCTTCTGCTGACGTGTACTTGCTAGAGACGATGTGGAAGCTTCTGACAGAGATCGAGGATCTGCACATTCTGATGGATCCAGAGGATTTCCTCAAGGTTAAGAAACAGCTGCAGATCAAATCAACGTCTCAAAACGACGCGTTTTGTTTCAGGTCCAAGGGACTAGTGGAGATGGCGAAGTTGTCGAAAGAGCTGAGACAGAAAGTGCCAGCTGTCCTCGATGTGGAGGTGGACCCTACCGGAGGTCCGAGGTTGCAGGAGGCGGCGATGAAGCTTTACTCGAGGAAGGCAGAGTACGAGAAGATCCATTTGCTTCAGGGGATGCAGGCGGTTGAGTCGGCGGCGAAGAGGTTCTTCTTCGGGTACCAGAAACTGGTGGCGGCGATGATGGGGAGCGCGGTGGCGAACGCGAACAGAACGGCGGCGAGTCATCACGAGTCGTGTGACTCGCTGACTCAGGTTTTTATGGAGCCAACGTATTACCCGAGCTTAGACGCTGCAAAGACTTTTCTTGGAGAGTTTTGGGGACATCTGGTATGCAGTGGACGACACTGACACAACTAAGGCAAACACTATTTAATCCATAGCTGTAAACACTATTGAAATTTTTGAAAAATTTAACGATCCGTGTATGAATATATATTTTTTGACATAAACGAGTGTTTTCACAGAATCAGATGTTACAACAATGTTACAATGATGGTACACCATACACTAGGCTACTATATCTCTTTGTAAGCCTCTACGAGAAAAACCCCATAAGCCACCAATTACAAACTCTCTCTCTCTCTCTCTTCTCCCTCTTGCCGCAAGAGCAAAGATCAGTCCTTTTTTTTTGGGTACTCTCACTTTGTACAAAATCAGTAGATAGCTAGACCATGAAGAGTAGTAGTAACGAGTGGAAGAGAAAGCGGAAACGCACCACTATGTGAAAGCAGCAATCACCAGAACCATAAATTGCGGCTATCTACGGCTTTCATGGAAGTGTATACAAGTGGCATTCTCCCGAATTCTGCTACAAACCGATTTACGCAGTGTGTTCTTTTCTCTGTGTGTCCTCCTATGCTACTGATTCCTGTTGAACCGATTTCATATATCTTACCTACAAAAACAGGCCAAAAGGAAGAAGGATATACTCTTCATCAGCAGAGGTTATTAGAATCATATGACCATAGACAGGGTTCTAAGAGTTGCCTGCGGTTGAAAAATTACCTTTAACCCATATAGGAGGAGCGTTTGTAGCATTTGCGACGAGGAATGACATTGCGATATCTTCACAGTTCCTGTAATTAGATGAATTTCATGCTTAGGTGGTGAGTTTCAATCACAGAAGCAGAGATACAAAGAACACAGAGAGAATGAGAATGATAAGGAACCTGTTCTTGGTTGTGAATTCCCTGATTGATGCCGGCATGCTGTTTGTGTAAAGGCTGAGATACTTTTTGTGGAAGAAGGCTGCCTTTGAGAGTACCATGCTATATGTACCACTCCACCAAACAGACCACCATCCGCTGTAGGTGTAGTAATCGGCTTTATCATTCTGCAGAAATTGAAATCGACTTTGTGATCCAAACAGCATGTACAGAAAAAGATAATTCCAAACAGCATGTACAGAGTTCTTAATAGTTATTTATTACTAGCTGTTAGATCCTATGGATGGAAAGAGAGCGAGAGAGAGAGATTACTAACTCCTTGAATAATGGGAGAGACCTATGATATTCAGATCAGTGAAAGAGTCCTAATAGCAAACAGCTTAAAGACAATGCATATTTTTACCATTTTTTGTCCTGTTGTTTGATAAAGAAGCTTCTTGAAAATAATTAGAAAATAAAAAGTGACATACCGATTTTTCAGGCCAATGCACACGGGGCACGAACCCCACCATTGTCTCTGGGGCACTCTCCCAAACGTTGAATGCAAAATCTACCGTGTGACAAGGAAATATGATGTCATCATCGATTGAGAAGACAGCGTCTGTTTTCAAGTCTTTAATGTCTTTAAACCTGTTGTTCAAACTGTCTTCTTTGTTTATATCAAATCTTAGCTCAACCTCATGCCCGCCTCGCGTTTTTTTCTTCAGAACATTTTGAAGATACTCTTTCAGGGACTCTGATGGAGGGTTAGGTTCACTCCAAACAATGTGGATAGAGTCAAGCCTAGAACATGATGCATAGTGAGAAACCGACTTCTTTAAGAGATCATATCTCTTCCATGTGTTCATTAAAAGTGTATAACCTTTCCTGCAGATTTTGATAAGAAATCCATCAAAATTAGACAATACAGAGCAAAACTATGCGGTCTAACCAAAAGCAAAAGGCCAACTACCTTATTAGAGTTACATTTACTCCACAATTCCTAACACATACCTTTATGCAACTTCGATCATGCAAAGGCGTAGACTAAATTGTATACTCGAGCTCAAAAAACACAACCTTTTACTATAAATAGATGGAGAAACAACGCAAAGTCTCCAATATATTCAACCCAATTAATATCCAACGAAACAATACATAAACAATTTCCTTCGAGGACAATGATAACCAAACCAAATCGCTAAAGCAATTCAAAGTTCTACTAAAACTAATCTGAAAAAAGGTCAAAAGTGGCTCATTTATAATAGCACTTATCAAATATTACTTTGTGCAACCAAATATTACTTTCCTAATAAATAATCTTAGTCTTCACCAGGAGTTACCCAAATCAAAGTTAAACCCAAAACATTACAGCAAAAATTTCGAGGTAAGATGAAGAAAAACTTGAGGAAACGTGTACACACCTTGATCCAGAGATCCGATCTGCGACGGCGGTTGAACTGTTAACCCAACCGATCGCCGAAGGCCGAGAAGACCGGCAAGCGAGTGTGATCAAAGCGAGAGCGATACAGAAAAATAGAAGAAACTTAGTGCTTCTCGCCGTCACGAGCTTCCGTAGCTTCTGATCTCCACGGCGATACGCTAATGAACAACCTCCCATCTCCTTAGAAACGTCTCCTCCTCCCATCTAAACAACGAATCTAAGTTTCCAAAAATAGATAACTCGGAGGAAGAAGAGGAAGAAGAAGAAGAAGAAGAATCTGGTCAACTGGTGTCAAGAGCAGGTCGAGAGCAGGTCGACTCAGTCTTCGCTCTCATGCGGATTTTTGTTTCTCCTCTTCAGTTTTAGTCATGCGTATTATCGCAGATCAGAAGACGAGTGATGTTTTATGGTGCGTCACGGCACACGGTAAGAGAAAACCAAATATCCACGTGTAACCATCGTAACCGTTGGCGTTACGCTGTCTGAAGTGTCTACCACGATCTCGACGTTTTCCCGATTTCAATGGTATACTGTCTTTGGTAAGTAGTGGGCCCATATTTATTTATATACTTACTTTAGTTTCTTGGAAATGGCTTACATGCTGTGACTAAAGATTAAAAAAAAACAAATAAATAAAGGAAAGAGCCGTAATTTTGAATGGTAAATGAAAGGATTTCGATCCTTATTCTGTTTTCGTTTTCATTCTCAGTTTATTCCTGTTTTGGCTCTCTTTTGCTGTTTGTGACTTTTGGATTCACTTGGTTTTGATATTTAATGGATAATTTCATTCAGACAAGAAAAAGAAGAAATATTCGACTCTAATGTTTTGCCGTCCTTTTATGGATAATTACTAATTAGGTCAATAACTTTCCATTTTAGTGGGTTTCCGATGCCACACTCAATGCATCCAAAAATAGCTTAAGATCCCAAAAATCCAAAAATTAGATCTTGTTGGGTCTTCGAGCTTGTTACAAGATTAACACGTCTCTGTATATTGTTAAGTTGATCCTTTTTCTCGGATATACAAGTTGATTTTCAGATCATGAGATTTAAAATTTTTTGTGGTACCCTTTCCTAACTTTACAACAAATTGTACAAAGAATTTCTATCTGAGAAAAGAGTTCGTCATTTATAAGCTACTACGCCTCGGATAGCTGATTGGGCTTTTCGCATAATATTGGCCCAAATCATATTTCGCACTGACTTGAAAATTTTACTATGAAATTTCAAAACACCACAAGAAATAAAAACGATCTTCAGTTTTATTATAAAGGAAAAAGGCATGAAGTTTCCAATTCCTGGTGGATTTAGGATCTCGATCTATTCAAGAAATACCTTTGTGTGTTGTTCACGTTTGATAGAATTTCCCAAAATCGTTCGTCATGGATAAGGAAGTGTTTTGAAACCGAGTTTTCACAGGTTTCATGTACAAGATTGCTTGACCGAATCTGCTGCCAATGTTCTTCACTACTGGGATCTCGCAATCAATCATGGATAATTACTAATTATGTCAATAACTTTCCATTTTAGTGGGTTTCTCAATGCATCCAAAAATAGCTTAAGATGTCAAAATTCGAAATTAGTAAATATGCTTTTACAAGATTGAAATGTCTCTGTATATTGTCACTTTGAGCCTTTTTCCCGGCTATATAAGTTGGTTTTTCAGACCTATAAGAATTTTGTGTTTCCTTTCCTAATTTACAACAAATTGTACAAAATTAATTATGTCTTCTTCTTCTTCTTCTCTATGGCTCGTCTTCGTCTTGTGGAGAAGAAGAATCAACGGACTGTGCGAAATCATAGTCCATTATCACACCATCCATGGCGTGAACGACTATCTTCCCTCTCTTTAACCCCATCTTCACAGTCTCGACGCCATTAACGACCAATCCACCACCATTTCTCTTCTTCCAAATCTTCAGTGTGAAACCACTCAACGACTCGTACGACGCCGTTTCGTCTTTCCCTATGTCTCCTTCCTCCACTTTGTACGGAACCACAGCGAAACTCATGATCCTCGATACGACGGCGTATGTGTTGTCGCCGTCGTCTTCTATTCGCCGGCTATTGTTAAGTTTCAGCCCCAGATCTCGGCTAAATGCTTCGTCGGACGGTACGAAGGCAGTGAAAACCAGATCTTCAGGTAGCATCTCGATCATCATCTTCCCGAAGAATCCAAGTTCATCGGAGAGATCGTATCTAAGTTTGCGGAGAGAGAGGTAGTCACCGGCGACCGGAGGTGATTCGGGTAATCGAAGGAAGGAGAAGACGAGAATTGTTAGTGAAGAAGCAGTGATGAGAAGAAATAGGAATAACACTGGATTCTTCATGAAATGAGGTTTCCTCATCGTTTACATTGATTCATTGATAGAGCTCTGCGAAAAAGGCTTCCAAGGAAGAAGAAGAAGAAGAAGAAAGATCGAAGCTCGATTTGAGAAAGAAGAAGCTAGTACGCTTCGAAATCTGCGAAATTTGGATCTGGTTGGGCTTTTTCTTCGCATTTTCGGCCCAAATCATATTTCGCATTGACTTGAATTGTAAATACTAATAAATACCACAATAAAGGAACCTAGAGTTTGGTAATAATTTTGTTGCTTCTCATATAACCCAAGGGAAAAGAAAGTAGATTATCCGGTTTATGGTAAAATAAACATGGTTTAGGTTTTTTTTTTGAATAATGAGTTTCTTCTAAGCAGTAACTCCAATGGGAACATTCTTGAGTCTTGATGTTCCGTAGAGGGTTTCTTCAAAACGAATGATCTCGTTCTTTGAGCCATAAGCAACTTGAGTTCTATCGTCGAGGTTGATGATGGTCTTGTCAAGCACGGACTTGTATCCATCACTGCTGAATCCGCCAGCATTCTCAACGAGCAGGCCAAGAGGAGCCACTTCGAACAGCAACCTCAACTTTGCCTTAGCCGTAGGAGAAGTCACGTTTGTGAAGATTCCTTTCTCCTTCACAATAATCTGCCAAAAAACAAATTGATAAGTTGTTAAAATTCAAGTTTCTCAGTCAGAAGTAGAAATCCGGTTTAAAGCTTCAACGAGGGAACGAACCTGGTTAACGTCAGGAACCATTCCTCCTGTGTATCGCAGTGTGTACTTCTCTTTCACGTAGTAATCAATCAGCTGATTTCAAAGTGAAGGTAAAGTAGAAGAAGAAGAAGAAAAGCATTCAGAGAGAGTTGTAGTTTGGTTATTAGATTGAAGCAAAATTAAAGTCAGATAGGTTCAAAAGCAAGAACCTTGCTGTATTCGGAGTTGTCGAATGTGGCTCTCAAGTTTCCTGGTGAGAACATTTTCCCTTCTGCGATCTCTGTTGTCTCCTTAACGTGCTGCCATTTCCCTGGAAAAACACTTTGAGCTTAGTCTAAGAAAACCACTCAATGAATGAATCTTTTAAGACGGGAAAGCAGAGGAAAACCTTCATCAAGAAGCAAGAACTCATGAGTTCCTGGAAACCCTTTAACAGCCAAAACATAAGTCGTTCGTGGACCATAGATTCCCATGGCTGCAGCCACTTGATCTGCTCCAGTGACTCCAGTTAACTTGTCTCCAGGCCAAACCCCGAATATGGTTCCCACTGTGAAGTTTGTATCCACAATGCTTGATCCATCCAATGGATCAAATGCAACGCTAAACCCACCTGTCCAAAACAAATTTCATACATTTTCCATAACAATTTCCACGGAATTAGGAAGTGGAAATGTAACTTAATTTTACATGAACCGACCTTCAACTGGACCTCCCATGTCTTGAAGCTCAGGTACTTCTTCAGAGCAAGCGTACTTGCAAACATGCGAGTATTGCAAAGCCTATAAAGACCAATACACAAATCAAAACCTAATATGCTCATTTTCCCGAAAATCAAACTTATGAAACAAGTTATTCAAAATGTAGTATATATAACCTCAAAGAGAAGCTTGTCGGCGAGCATATCGACAGCGAGTTGCTCATCACCAAAGGAATTAACACAAGCTGTTCCACCACAAGAAGCTGTTCTAACTTTGAAAGCTATTGTCCTCAATGCTTCACCCATACACATTAACAAAGTTCTCAGTCCCTTGTCTGGTGTAGCTTGTGTCAAAAACTCTTCCTATACAGTCACACAAGTAAGAGACTTTCAGTATAATCAAAATTAAATCTTTAACACTGAGTTTAAATAAAAATTGAGTCTTTTTTTGTTACTCTAGAATTACCAAGCTTTGGCCAATTTCACATTTGGTCACACTTGAAGCACCATTGTTCTTCGCCTTGGTGGACTTCAATTGCGATCTTGGTGCTAGTCGCAGTGAATCTCCAAAGATCGAGCTCGATTTCAGACGCTGCTTATTTCAAATGTTAAGTACCCGTTTACAATTAGGCACACATTCGTTATATTGAATCAATCAAAATAAGTTTTCTCACTCACTATCAGTGAACAAAATTTTACTCAGTAATCACGCATGTGTGTGAAGTCAGTGCTATATGCATAATTGTAGAAGATACGAAATTACGAACCTTGAAGCTGGAAGAAGCGGAGAAGGAAGAAGGAGGAGAAACCAATGTAGAGGATCGTTGAGAAGAGACGCTTGGGAGGAGGATGCCATGTGAGTAGCGCGCGATGCTGGTCTCCATTGCTGATATTTGATCGAAGAAGAAGAAGAAGAAGAAGAAGAAGAAGAAGAAGAAGAAGAAGAAGAAGAAGAAGAGCTCTCTACAGAGAATAATGGTGGAGACAAAAAATCAAACCCAAGTGGTTTTGGAGAAGATAAAGGATGTTTAATGCTGAGAGTGCCACGTGGCAGTCTGAGAAGATATGCTTACGGCTCTGGTGATGGGCAATTGGGCAAAAAGAGAGAGAGAGAGTGAGGCAAAGAGATGTATTGAGGCTTTCATTTGCCATCATTCATTTGTTGTGTGGTTATGGGTCCTTCTTTATCATTTTCAGATTATATCATATCTCCAATTTCATATAAAATAGAACATTTATAAATTAATACTCGATAAATTAATAATCACTATAAATTAATAAATTTTGCTGGTCTCAAGTCGGGTCAATGTAAAAAACAATCAAATTCGATAAAATAATAATATAATATTTCTTTTTAAAATTCTAATGTAAATATATGGTCTCAACAAAAATATAAATTAATAATTATATAAATTTATGCAAATGTATGTAAATATAATATTTTAAAATATGATTAATGTGTTTGTTTTTACTTAAAGTTGAAATGTCATTGGTTCCCATCTCTCTAATTATTATATCAATAGCTTTTATTGCTGTTTTATTATATACAATCAAAATTTTATGATAATTTTTTATGTGATAATTGATTTTCTTACATGTAAATGTTTTTAAATGCATTGTAATGTTATCTTCAATTTTATTAGCAACAATACTCGTAATAGCTATGGTTTTTTATAATTTTTAAACTTATAAATATTTATATTTTTATATGGAAAATATAATATGGTGTTAAAAACTATTTTACTGTGATAGTTATGATTTTTAATTATAAATTATATTATGAGATTTGTTAAAATTTTAAAATATAACATTATTCCAAAAAAGGTTTTAAAAAATTATATGCGAAAAGCAAATTTTCTCTATAAATTAATAATTATTTATTTATAAATAAATTAATATCATGATAAATTAATAAAATATCATGGTCCCAATATTATTAATTTATAAAAGTTTTACCGTATCTCACCATCACGGATATAGAAAGACGAAAAATATGATGTAGCACACAAGAAAACTTCATTATTATATAACTCGTATTATTTCATTATTAAGTTATATAATACTATATAATATATGTACCATATTTATATGCGATCAGTTGTATTTTATCTTAGAAACGCCTAAATGGACTAATATCGGCGAAGCCCAATTAGGCGTTAGGATTTGGGTGTTAGTATGCTTTAATTGGTCGCAATCTTACATTTTTATATTTCTTTTTGGTAAATACAAGATGATATTTTATTAATTTTAATGTAGAAAATAAGTAAAATAAAAACAAAAAAATGGTACTAATATCAGAGCCAGGTTTCGATCCTGGGACCTGTGGGTTATGGGCCCACCACGCTTCCGCTGCGCCACTCTGATTTGCTCAACAGTTTATAGACGTTCACATTATATTTAACGAATGTTTAGGATTCTTATTTCTATTTGAATATACATTACCCGAACATGATTGAAACAAAAAATCAGAGTGGTGGAAACAAAAAATAAAGTTGTGAGTATTTCTAAGCTCTCTCCTTTAGTCTTTAAAGAAATATAACTTAAAAGGATTGACGATCTATATCCCCATGGGAACTATCATATAGCACCAAATCCACACGGAACTATGACCTCGTTTTAGACGTCCATGAGAGGAAAGTTGTAGATCTAAATCCCCATGTAATAATAGTTCGAAATCTATTTCCCCAGATGTGTTGGTTTTTACAGTTTCTGCCGGTTTGCGATGTAAACCCGAGAGTTAAACCATCAATCGCTGAAACCAAACAAAAAAAAACCGACCCGAACTAAAAAAACCCGATTCGAACCCGACCCATATGACAGCATTTTATTCCCACTTTGGTCCCAAAATCCCCAAATCGAAAAAATTCAGTAAGAATCCTAAATTCGATTCTGGAAAATCGATTGTTGTAATCAGTAATTTCTGAAATCGAGGGTAAGTATAGTGTTATGGGTTCATATTTGAGTGCTAATTGTAGTCTTTTTCTTATGTCTCCCTCATCATCGTCATCACTTTCTGGAATGTTGTCGTGGAAAATTGAAGGTTCGTCCTCAAATTCTTCCACCATTTTCTCGATTTCAGTTGCATCTCTGTCCACTTCTTCTTCATCGAAATCGTCTTCGCCAAGCGCACGACGAATGACTAAGGCCATCGAAATCGTCGTCAACCTCTTCCTTCAGCTTTGATTTCGAATTCAATTTCTAGGGTTTAGGATTTGGGAATTTTGAATTTGGGGATTTTGTTGGGTTTTGGTTTATTAGTTGGGTTTTGGTTTATTAGTTGTAATCGGGTCATAATCCGGGTCATGATTGGTTTAACAACGCTAATACATGGTTTAGCTTTGTTTCCGATACAGTAATCCAACTAAAACCGACCCCAATGGGGTTTGGGCTTTCGAACTTTATAACTGTGGGGAAGTAGATTTCGAACTATTATTACATGGGGATTTAGATCTACAACTTTCCTCTCATGGACGTCTAAAACGAGGTCATAGTTCTGTGTGGATCTGGTGCTATATGATAGTTCCCATAGGGATATAGATCGTCAACCCAACTTAAAACAAAAAATAAAGTTGTAAGTTTCCAGCTTATTTATTGGTCGCTTACCTTGGTGGTGTAGCCATATATGAGGATTCCAAAGAAGTATAACAATGAATATCCAGAGTTATATTTCAGGCAAAAAAACTACTACAGTATATTGCGTCCAAGGGATTCAATTCCATTGTTCCACTTCCATATGCGTAAACTGGTAAACATGTAGTTTTTTCTTCTCTTCACAGTTTCAGAGCAAGACATGTTTTTTGGTAAAAGAATGTTCAAAACATCAGAACTACAAAATTACAATTTCAAGCTAAGATAACTAGGCATCGTTGCTCTGTCAAATGATTCTTGGTGTGCTGCAACTCCACTGGATTTGATTAGCATTTTTCTCTGCCATTAATCAATCTCAGGATTAGAACAAATACACCTACAATTACGACTTCAATATCTTCTAATGTTTCTATGTGTGAGACAAAACTGACATTCCCTGAACGAACCATGACAGATGAGAGTTTTTTCATGCATCAAAACACTCTCTCCAAAATCTAGAAAACGTTTATTCAACTTCAATATGGTCACTCTATTCCAAACATCTTCCCCACACAACAAACAATGGCCTCTAGTTTCTGCAAACATAGCAGTAAGCTATCTAAACCTCTAAGCCACTCAACCTAACAAGTGATCTAATTCCAAAGAACCAAAAAGAGTAAAGCATCAGAGAACCAAAGATAGTACCTCTCGTCTACATCAACAGACAAAGCATCACCAGCTCCAAAAAGAATCCAATCAAAAGCAATCTTCTTGCTTTGCCTCCATCCGAGAACTCAAAGCTGTACTTGTTAGTCATGTTGTGATGCAGAAGTCCCCAGTTCCTGATCCCTTGCTTAGCGTCTTTCTCAACGAGCTCAAAAATGTAAACCTCTGAAACACCTTCTTTCCTCAATGGTGTCCCAGATCCGCTTCTCAGGTGAGCTAACAGTGCTTTCAAGAACATCTCGCTGTACAGCAACGTCGCATCAACTTCACTAGAATCGATTCCCGAGCTAGGCCAACCAGTCTCCGCCACAATCACCGGAAGATTCTCGTGGCCCATGACGGCCATGGAGCTGATCACAGCATCTACCATCATATCGAAGAGATTACGGTATCTAACTCCGGTGGTGAGATCGTCTCTGAAATTGAAAGGGAACTCTTCAAAAAGAGCAAATCCGATTGGAATAGAGAAGCTGGACCGATACATGTTGTAGGGAAAGAGATTGATGAGGAAAGATGAGTTGGTTCTCTCGAGGAATTGCAAAATCGGTCTGATTATCACTTCTCCGTTAGGTTGTTGGAACTGCGCCGACGAAGGAGGGAAAGCCGTCGGGACGATGTTGAAGAAAGAGAACGTCGTGGACACCGAGATCTTGTAGATTCTCAGATCTGTGAGAGATAGATGAACGTTCTGCATCGCCCGGAGGAGGAAAGGGGAAACATCCGGCGAGTACGAAATCGCGTCGTTCCCGACGGAGATTATGGAGATCTTGGTGCGAGGGTAGAAGGGAAGCACATGGCGATAGACCCAGCGCATGGCGAGCGAACGATTGGAAGCGAGGAGAGGAACCAGAGGATTGGGGATAGAGAGGAATAGAGAGACGTTGGTGTAGGCGAAGGCGCGAATCATCGCCGGATTCGAATCGAGGAGCCTCACCGCCGGAATCTTCATCGAAACAACCTTCGCGGCGATTCTGTCCGGCGATAGCATAACGGAGCCGGAGATGGACGCTGGGGTTGAGTAGGTGACTCCGATCGTCGTTGCGGAGGTGGTCGGAGGGATAGCTATGGCGGTGAACGAGATAAGGAGGAGGAGATAAAACGCGATAGAATGCATTTTCTTCACTCGCTTACTTTCTTGGAGAGAGAGAGGGAGAGAGAGAAATCGTAAGCTGAGAATTGCTCAAGACTCAAGAGTCGAAAGGTTGAAGACGAAGTGCGAGAATGGGCGGGAGGATTCTGTTAGAGGAGTGTTTGATTCTGTGTGCTACAGTCTATATTTGATACTGTAGACGTTACTGACGTTGATGTGACTACACGTGTCCTCGAGCGCAGATGTTTTGACTAAAGTCTTACGGAGACGGAGTTTCTTAAACATTTAAAAGCCTCTACTTTACTCAGAGGCTTTTTATGTCAACACACAAAGTTGCATTCCTCCTCATCCTTTGACAATAGAATAACTAATACAGAAACTGGAATTTCGAAAGGAAAGTCTCAGATTTTATAGATACCAAATCATGACAACAAACAAAGACTTCAGGAGACGTCAATGGAAATAAGAAGATCAAATGATAGATTACAAGCTCACACACACAAAGACACAAAGAAAAGAAATAACAAACTGTTTAGCATTAACTTCAATTTAGACTAGAGAGGAAGAGAGGTTATTGAATTTAAGATTCAGGAATCGCGGCTGCGGGTGCACCAGCAGCGACTGCGGCAGCAGCAGAGCGTTTGATGGAAGCGGATTTGATTAAGTGGTTGTAGCTTCCCTTTTCCTTGAAAAGCTGAGCGAAATGGTGCTTGCAGTACAAAATTCCTTCAAGAGCCGCATAGTTGGAAGGAGAAAGCGGGCAGCCTCCATGTGAGCACTTGAAGCAGGACTTGTGATACGTCTGACTCTCCACTGTTATCTGCAGTTTTGAGAATGAAGACGAGACTTAAGCAGGATTGTTTGTGACCAAAGGGCATTCACCAAGAAAAAGAATTATGGTTTACTCAGGTGGCACTAATATGAGAACCAAGCACAAGCCATAGCTGTTAGAATCTGTTAAGAATCTTCCTTTTACAGCTTAAATAGGCAAACCAAAGCAACAAGAACCTACATTTCCGGGGACTATTGCATCTGTTCAAGACATTATGTTTCCTAGCAAGTTTTTCGTAACTAAGGGATTATGTTTTTATCATTAGCATTGAAGAGAATACACAAGATAATCCTTGCAAATGATCAAACTGAGCTTTACCGCAATAAATTTCGACAAAGATCATAGAGGACAGCAAGATGATTTCTATGGTTACAAGTTAATGGAAAATGCAAGAGTGAAGAGCTATTGAGCTTAAGCCAATAATAACCTTTTCGATAGGATACACAGTTTTACTGCAAGTAGCACATTTTTCTTGTGTACCAGAGAACATTCCAGCAACTCGACTAGGTGTCCTTGTCTGAGAACAAACCAAAATGGTTTATATAAGAGAAACGTTCAATCTGAGCAATGTGTCCAAACCATATAAGAAACATTTACCAGCTCCGGAGATGATTTCTCAGCCGGTTTTGCAGCTGCGCGGAAAGAAAAGTACCAAGACAGATTAAACAGATAGCCACAAGAAAAGCAAGTGAAAATAAGATCGAAAGCAAAAAGAAGACTACATACGTGACTGAAAGTTCTTGTTGAAACTACCAGACTCCTTGAAGAGCTGCTCAAAATGAGGTTTGCAGTACAACACACCTTCCATTGATGAATATCTGCTCAGCTGAAAAAGGCCATTAAAGACATTTGCTTTATCAGGATCTGCTTATGGCTCAATTCCATTTGTAGCTGGTAGGCTTGAAATCAGACACAGAATCATTTAAGCAAGAAGATGGAGAAAGGTGAAAGGCACAGACCTGAAGCCTGCTCTTGCAGTGAGTGCATTTGAAGCAAGATCTGTGATAGCTAACTCCATCAGCTGAGAGAAGCTCCACTGGATAAACCGTCTTCTCGCAAGCCTTGCATTTCTGTTGGGTTCCTGTAAAAGACATCCTTCAAGCCTCCTCTCACCTTCTTCTTCTTCTCCTTATAAATTTCAAAAATCCAGAAACAATGAGGTAAGAAGAAACCCCATTGAGCAGATCCCTCAGCGATATTCTAGATACGAGAACAAGCACGATCCGTTGATAATTGGAAGGAGATTAGACCATGGCTTAGTGATCAAATCACAAGGGACCCAAATTTTACACCAAAAAAATTGTAATAGGAGAGAAATACGAATCCGATCTCCATAGAATGAGATCGTAAACCTCAAGAGAAATTATTAAAAAAGGAAGGATCTACTACCTCTCCTTGAGCAGAGACCTTCCAAGATCTGATCCTCGAACGAAACTGCAAAATACACACCCAAAAAATGAAACAAAGAAGGCAGGATTAACCAGAGGAACGAAGATTGAGAGATGCAAAAGGCAAATGTCAACTTGTTCGAAGAGAGAGCTGTTACGTAATCTTTCGTCGACTAACGAAAATGGAGGATCTATGTGACGATGAGGACGAAGGAGAAAGAATAAGATGATCCAGCAGAGGAATAAGAATATAATCGGAGATTTGGGTAAAAATAAAATCCTTTTTATGTTTTCTTTTAGCTGGAGGAGGAGACAGTGGGGTTCCACTTTGGCTTGTCCTATCTCATAATTTTTTTTTAATTAGAATTTCGAATGAAGATCATAGGTTACCCAAAAAAAAAATTTGAAATATAACAAAAAATTTGTGTTCTAATCTGCCTGTATCTTTTACCAAATAAAGGGTTTATTTATCTGTTTATAGCTTTTTATGCTCCTGGAATATGTTCTAGTTTCTAACAACTCAGATTAGGTAAGTATAAACTATACTATCCACAACGAATGATTATAGTCTTGTTATAGATTCGTTTACCAAACAATACAATTTAATACGATCTACAATAATAGAGAAACAAGAATTGATTATTGGAAAACTTTCGAAGACGAATAAATATGCGACGCAACGTTGAGAGTTGAACGTCTGTAACTCTGACCGAATTGCAAAAGAGTTTGTTTATTTAATAGTGAGAATATTTTGATATTTCAATTAAATTTGTTTTTAACCAGTTCGTATCTTTAACAATTATGACATTCAAATTGCAGAAAGAATATCAATGGAATAGCAGTGAAGAAAATAAATTACGAGTTTTTTTGGATCATATTTTTTTGCTGGAATTCCATCAAAATTATATTATCCCAAGAGAAATACTTAGTCTAGAGATAACAAAAATCGACTTGAGTTTAGGACAAAAGTGAACAAAGGATAAACTATAGCTTCTGAGACATGATAATGGAGCCAGATCTTGAAACTACCCACCTGCATCAAGAAATCGAATCAGGATACGTGTTGATGGTGAGAAAGTATAAAACAAGATTCTGGAATCAGACATTACAGAGATGTGTCTAATGGATCCGAACAACAATATCCAGTCTTTCAATGAAGGTGCTTATGACAAGATTACAACAAAACGAAATGGCTAATCTAATCTAATCTAATCTCACAGGGCAATGAATCGGTGCAGATGGTGTACTTTTTGTGTGTTTAGTGATGGTTAATCTTAAAAGAAGAGAAGTAGAATGTGTAGTTACCTCACTCATATGTTGCTTGGGTACATGAAGACTCTCACTCTAGCTCCCTGAGATTAGTTTACACAACAAAATAAAAAGAGTTGAGTCAGAGAACTAAGCATTATAAAACACCCAAGTCACAAAGGAAGATATGTTCCAAGGAAAAATGAAGTTACCATTGACTTTGGTGGTAGGTTTGAAGTGAACTTAGAGCGAACAACACCACTGTTACCATGAGGCCTAGTGACTTTGCCCCAAATGCAACGGTAATGCGAACCGTTCTTCTTTGTCTTTGCTTTGTAGATGTAAGCCAAGCGCTTTCCCTTGTACCAAGCAACCTCCTCTGTAGTGTTCACACCTTCAATCTGGATTAGGGAAGTGTTGGGATACTGGTTCGACTTCGACCTGTAAAGTTACATAATATTTAGTAATCAAGCTTTATACAAACCATCAAACAACTGCTTACAATAGCACAAAAATGTATCATTTACACATAAAGACATTACAGATATTGATGATTGTGAAAATACACTGGCCTAGCAGACTTCTAGAGAATTAGATAACCAAATTTTATACTTTCAATAAGATCTTTGCTATTATCAAAACACTATAGTTCAATATTCGAATCCTACTAACTCAGCACAAACAATCAAGCTTTATACAAACAATCAAACAACTGCTTACAATAGCACAAAAATGTATCATTTGCATCATTTGCAGATCCCTAAAATCAGCGACTTAATACACAGAGAGACATTACAGATATTGATGATTGTGAAAAAAAACACTGGCCTAGCAGACTTCTAGAGAATTAGATAACCAAATAGAGTTCTGGCAACATTGTCTAGTTTCAATAAGATCTTTGCTATAATCAAAACACAATAGTTCAATATTCGACTCCTATTAACTCAAGAATATTGCAACTAAAAACTACAATCTCAAGCCCTCAAAACACAAGAAAACATAAGGGTAAGACGGAAAAATCAAAGTACCTCTTGTAACCGAGGACTGTTCCTCGAACATACAATCTGCAAAACAGCAAAACATAGATTTGGTCAGACGAGTAAACAACTTCGAATCGGAGATTCAGCTAAAACAGAGAAAAAATCAGTATAAATTCGGAACGCTAATTACCTAACTCTTTCTCCTTGGCGTCCCTTCATTTTCAATCCTGCGACTGTCTTCTTCCTCTTGCCTCTTTTATGCCGGCGAGTGAAATACAGAGAGATAAGCCCTAGCTTCCGTTATTAGGTTAAACAATATATATATGGATTCATAAATAAAGCGCACAACGAAACTTTATTGGGCCTATATGTGGCTATTTCATACTGTTTTGGCCCAAAATATAACAATGCTTGGCCCATGAACGACTATTTTTATTACAATAAGAAAGCAATTAACCGGAGTAGGAAACCAATTAAGGCAATAACCATATCAAATGTACGTCTTTGCCAATGTACGTAATTAACCGGATTATGAACCATATAACAATTTTCTTTTCTTTTAGGTTTTCATCATTTCGGAAACCGAATTACCAAATTTTAAGCCAATTGTAAGAGACGTTGGTTTGCTAATTGAACCGAACTGAATCAAACAAAACCGTAAAAACGGTTAAGGAATCTTCTTTCATATGAAGAGTAACAACAATAGAAGGATTACAGCTCTTCTTTTTGGTATACAAGATTACATAGACAATGTCGAAGACTACAAAAGCAGAATTTTGTTTAACTAAACATCAGCAAAAACATGGAAATTCTTGGAGTCGACAGCGATAAGTCTAAGAGCAGCAATTGCAGCAGCAAGAGACATTAACCCAAAGAAGCAAACATTAAGCCAATGCCATAGCTTTTGCACAGTGCTAAGCTTAGTGTTCATAGCTACAAGATACATGTGATTCGCTAATATGAACGTCAGAGGAAATGTGCTTATCGCTCCCGTGAGGCTCATGAAATCTCCGAGAAACGGCAAAAGCGCAGAGAGAAGAGTGCTAACCGCGATGTAGCTTCCTCTTGCTACCGTTCTAAACAGCAGATTCTTCAATGCCAATGGACTTCCTTTGATTCCATACTTTGTGTCCATATACTCATAAGTCGGACTTGCGAAAATCTACACAACAAGTTAAACCAAAAAATGGTTAAGGCCTTCCTGTTTAAGACATGTAAATAGTGGTTGAGGAAGAGAAACTTACATGTAAAGAGATAACGGATTGGAGAAAAGCAGAGATGTTAGCGAGGGCTTTGACCCAGAGAGGTCCAGTGACACTGTTTAACAGATAAGTCTCTGTGGAAGACCCGTAAGCCCAATAACCGATGAATGTAACGGCATACATGGGTAAAACACCAGCAGTAAATTGAAAATACAGAGCCTTCATCATGTTTTTAACCACCGGTTGCTTCACTGTTGCCTAGTTTATTACACAAGATCTAGTGTCAAGAAAACAGATAAAGCAGAGAGCATGAATAGATTGATTGGATTGAGACTGACCTGTATTTCCGGGAGCATTCCAGTGTTGAATGCGAAAACAAGATTTGCTGCAGCTCCTGTTATTGTAAAGAGTTTGTTTATTGATGATCCTTGTATGTTGTAATCTCTTGATGGTTTGTTTACTCCTGCAAAACAAAAAAGTGATCATTTTTTGTTTTGTTTGTTTACATGGTGGTCATTAGAGGTTTGATTCTTCAAGAAAGTTACCATCTTTAACTGATAGGACTATTGCAACAACAATGTAGATCAAACTGAGGATTGTTGAAAGTCCGAGCCAGATTCCAAGAGCTGATAAATGAGGAATACCGATTGCGAAAATCGCACAAACTACACCGGCGATGGCAATGAAGTGAGGCAGCTTCATGAGACTGTCATCTCTAAAAAGTACATACACAGCCTGAAAAAAAGCAGAACCAAAAATGACATTTTTCAAGTCAGGAGCATTTCGGATTTTCTAAAAGGGTTGTTTTTATTGTTGTACCTTTAAGGCGGAACCAGCGAGTATGATGAATCCACAATTAATCATGAAAAGATTGACATATTGCAATCCCCATGTAACCCGATACATCTTTTTCCCTGATCAATCACATGCAAATGAAATCTCTTATTAACCTAGAGAATGTTTGAAAAAATGCGAGATAGAGAGAGATGATGTTTTTCTTACCGTAGATGAAGCCTGCGAGATCTCTGTATCGAATGTGTCTTTTGCCACCAAACTCATGAAGCTTGGCAATAAGAGAGTTTGCGTAAAGGGAGATTGCGGTAGCAAGAATGAGACCAACAACACCACCAATCCAACCCAAAGGAACCATCACTGTCCCCGAATATCCCAACACATAGGCGCTGTTTATACCCGTCGTCAAAACAAATGCTACCTGAAACCATGAATCTGTACAATTTTCTCTCAACAGTTAAAAGCTTACATACAAATGCTTGCCAAAATGTTTGAATACTATGGTTTCCTCAATAGCTATCAACTCATGATGCTCATTTTCATCACCACTATGCCAATTTGCAAGCAAAAGAAAACAGAGTCTACATAACAAGTTTTCTAACTAAAACATCTGGAGGCTCATAAAGAAACTTGAGTTCGATATCGCAATTTCGCATTCTGGAATCATCAAAGACTTAGACACTTTTCACAAGAGGGTATCGCAAAAACTCATCAAAGACTGACACTTTTCGTAAGAGGACACCACCTAAATCATCAAAATGACATTTTTCCCAAGAGGGCACCGCCTAGATCATTAAAGACTAACATCTTTTGGAAAGCAGCTATATATTACACTTGCTATGCATGCATCAGCGAATTTAGAATAAAGTAACAAACTTTCAGTGAATCTGACAAAGAAGACAAAAGTTAATCAATCCTTTAGATTTATTTTCTTTTTGTTTCTCACGTAAAAGTTTTTATCTAAAAGGAGCATCAATCCTCAATTGAGCATACGTTGGTTGGTGTGTTTCTTTTGTTTCTTTTTGCGAAAACATTGGTTGGTGTTCCAAAGACAATATAAAAAACATTTCTTCAAAAAGCTCGAGATCACGCAATAAACGACAAGTCGATGCAGCATAAGACAATCAGGATAATATGTTTTTAATAAAATGAAAACCTCAAAGAGAAAGATAAGATGTTCGAACCGCTGCTAATCTGATGAGCAGTCTCAGGGATTTCGAGATCGAACTGTTCCACTGCAACAACTTTACGATTCCTAGCTTCACTCGTATCCATGATTCAGACAAGAACCAGTTAATTCTTCTGTCTCTGCCTGTCTGCCTCTAAAAACCCTTTTTACTTTCTTCTCCAATCCCAGCTTAAATTATGTCTTCCTCTTTCGATTTGGTGAATTTTGCTGCTCACACTCAGAAAAGCAGCTTTCTCATTTGCTAGAAAGAAGAATTAATCAAGATACAAATTTATTCCACAGGAAAAGTGTGAAATGGAATCGATGAAAATGAAAAAGATGGATTCTGTTTATTTGATCTTTTGGGTCAAATTTTAATTGATGGGTCAGAAAGATGGATACGTCTCTGTGTGTCTGAATTATTTGTGCACGAGATCCTATAAAATTGGAAACGAACGTTTTTTAGTGAATTTTCTATGAAGGAAAATCTCTTTTGGGTTATCTATTAAAGTATCTTGACTCTAAAATAAAGATATGAAAGGATCTTCCGAATTGTTATTTTTGGAAAGTCAATCCATTATCCCAATTAAGGAAATCTTAATATGAATGGGTTATCAGACATGGAAACTAAACACATTTTCCTAATTTTGTTACGATGTTTATACGTATATTTGTTTTGGTAACAGTATAATTAGTTGAAATTTTAAAAGACTAGTGGAGATACCTGAGAACTTGAAAAGTCAAAGAATAGTGGGTGAGGCATCAATGCTGACTTACATTTTTTTTTGGTCAAGTATTATTTTCAATTAACGATAGTGGCATTATATTCCTTTGACTTCTTGTGACATTATCTTTACTTATCTCTTATTTATTTAACAAATAGATTCGTATATATATGATTCGACGCTAACCATATCTCCTATACGTAGTCGAAGATTACCAAATAAGTATCAAATATTATGACAGCTAAAAACTCATAATGGTTCGTATAGAAAACTTTAAAATATTTGAAGCTCGTCGTTACAGTTTACACTACAATGAAGCGATCGACTAAAATCTTTAAAACCAACTCTACTTTTAGAATACTATAACAAATCAACAATCATCTATTTCAGTTTCTAAAAAATGCTAAGTTGAGAAATAAAAAAAAATCTACAACGAATTTTAAAAACAAAATCAGTTTTTACGCAGTCTACGTGGCTTGACTTTATGGAAAATCAAAAAATCAAGCAAAACTTTAATGATGGAATTCTTAGTCATGTCTTTGGAATTTAGTTTGGTCGACGTACTACGTAGTTAGTAAGTCTTGCCAAAATAAATATATTTAATCGCGTTCACATGCATTCGAATTTTATTATTGACTAGATGGACTATAAAATACGTGGGTTTTCATTATATGTAGTATATATAATACTTTTGCGTATAAGTAATGTATGACAATAGAAAAGAAGGCATTGCTTGCTTGCCATACAAAAACAAAAAGGCATCGACTAATAGTTACGTACTTCCTTTATCGAATCTCGATTTCGATACTTAATTTTGGTAAATTCGTCGATCTTTCAACAAAATAACAAAAGAATTCATTGTTTAAAATTTGATATATTGAGGGATCTTACTCATTCTATATAATTATTTAGGAACATATGATATTTTTCTGTAATATGTTAATTTTGTGCGTGGAGCCGTGGACATACGGTTTATTAAATAGAATTGTAATTTTTATAATAAATGGTACTTATTTCGTATAATTGTTGCAGACTGTGTGATTTATACCGTATTAATGTAATATGCTTTTATTCTCTATGCACAACTAATTTATGATATAAATATCTATTTCTGTCGCATAAGTATGTGATAACTTTTTAGGGCTCTAAATCCGTATTCAAAATAATGGTATATCCACATTTACAAGACTACCAAATTAATATACTTTCAAAAATTCATTTAATAAAATTACATGTTATATTTTCACCATACTTTTTACTAATACGCTTTTGTTAGTTTTTAAAAACAATTTTGACATTTGTTATTTACCTGAATAAATTATGTTCGATGTCTTCTTTGACTTCGGTTAAAAAAATTTCTAGCTCTACCTATCACTGGGTATGAATAATTAAGACATTCCCCAAAATAGTTGGGGATTTCGTGTCTTAAAACTAACTATTTCATGTTTTAAAACTAACTATTAGAAGACCAAATGTTTCAACCAAAAAAAGACCAAATGTAAAACTCTTAGAGAGATCTTCTTTCAGTTTTTCTTAGGAAACTATACACATGGATTGGAAAATTACAAACTCGTAGAAAAATGATTAAATGAAGCATAGAGTATATATAAAACTACGTACGTAGACATTGCTCTTGGATTCCCATATTTATATTACTCTCTGTTCAAGGCTTCAAGCTGTTTTGGCAAGCTACGATATGACTACTTTGTATATTCATGCATGTATATATATATATATATAAACGAATATGGTATTACTCAATATATTTTTTTATTTTATTTTACTATTAGTGTGGGTGAGTAGAATGAAAAGATAAATTATTTCATTGTAATATCAATTCAAGGGATCGTTGGTGGGTGCAGAAGGTACCTTAAGGTATCAATGGAAACAATGTCGGTTCAAATGGCTAACGAAGACATGGTTATTGATGAGAAGTATGACAAACCGATATATATTAATTGATCACTGATCTATATTGTCCAAGTTTATCCCCAAAGCAAAGAGTAGCCTAATGAAATGTAATCAAGGGGGTTGAGAAGAAGAGAAATGTGAAAGAGTGTTTCGAGAAACAAAATAGTGAAAACTCTATTTTCTACTGTGATTAGAAAGCCGAATAAGATGACTCCAGTGTCTTCTTTTGGTGTTTAATATCTGAAAGGGACAAAAAATATTAAAATTTTCGTATGAAGAATTTGATATTTAAATTTCTTTTGTATGATATTTGTGAAATTTAAGTACATAAAAAATTAGGAGTGAGCACTTTGGTTTATTTTCGGGTTCGGTTTGAGTTCGGTTTGGTTTGGTTAATTCGGGTTTTATAAAATTCTAACCAAACTGAAATAAGTTTAGTTCGGTTTAAATTCAGTTTGGTTTAGTTGGGTTTGGTTTTAGTTTGGTTTAGTTTTAATTCAGTTTTAAAAAAATCAGTTTGAAGAAAAGAATGATATGTTGGTTTAGGTGAAATTTCATATTTTACCATATTTCAAAAAAATTAATATTATGAACTAACTAAAAAAATAAATAAAATAAGTATATTAGTTTTTTTGTTTGGTTTAGTTTAAAACCAAACCGTTCGAGTTGTGAAAAACTTCAACCAAACGGGTTATATATTAAAAATAGATCGGTTCAGTTCGGTTCGGTTTTTTCCCCACCCCTAAAACAAAACAATGTAATATTACAATTTAAAGTATTTATTTTATCAATTCATTATAAATTCGTTTGCATTAATTATTTAATTACATCACTCATATTATTGGATCTTCAATATCTACGTGACTAAGATCACATTATGTTACACTTATATAAGTGTAATAAAAATACAGTCGACTTCCCTATTAAAGTATTAATTAGTCGACATAGATAAAGTATAGTGCTTTGATTAAAAAAAAATTGTAGTGTTTTTGATCTGTGTTTTAATAAAATGTCGTCGTTTAATAGTATATACATGCATAATGCATTTTACACTGATCGAGAGATCTTACATCTAATTGAAGGTTGACCCACGGTAGGAAAAAATAATAAGTGGCTGAAATCCTTTTAAAATGGATCACTGGAGATATGAAAGCTTGACCAGTGAATATCATTATCTATTAATTACTTTAGAATATAAAGTTAGCATTTTCCAATAAAAGGCAGACAAATCAATTTATTGGAAGTCTCTTTACACTTTCACAAAGCATCGAATAATCCGAAGAAAATTTATTCAAATGTTCACATATTTTCATTTAGTATATAGGGAGCGTAGCATTATAAATTACGCTAACAGAATCATTATTATTTATCTTCTCTCTATCCCAAATTCAATCTAGTTTCTTTCTTGTTCCAAGTTGTATACACTGCCCTTATAAATAAATAAAAAAGTTGCGTTAGACAGGGAGAGTTGTAAGAAAATATTAAGCAGATAATTATATGAAATATTACACAGTAACATGTTGTTTTCCAAAGCTGTTTACAAATAGATTCATGTGAGAGTCATTTCTCGAATTTTTTTATGCATACTGGATTCTTTAGTAAGAAAAAAAGAAGACACTGGGTTTTTATGACAAATTCGAAGTAAGATTTTTTTGTGGTTATATTTAATGTTAGTTTTTTGTTGTTAACGGATTTTCAAGTTAATGCTATGATATTCAGAATTAATTATTTGTTCCAAACTTTCTTTTTTTTCCAAACTTATCGATACAAGTGGTGTAAATTCATAATGGATCAGATTCTCACTAGTGCAAGAACTACTTTACGGGATCCAAGAACTTCTTGATCTAGGATTTCGAACTAGTAACGTTAATGAAAAGTAATTTGAATTAATATACTAGATACTTTTCAATAATTATAGGTGAAAAAGAACACCCTAAGAAAAAAAAAAAAAAAAACTCACGGTTGTATTATGCTTATAGAATAACAGCAAAGAAAAATCTTAAGTTTTTATAAATAGTTTCTATAAGCAAATCCTGCCACGAAATTTTGAACAATAAAAAAAAAACATGCCACAACATTCAGATATAGAAAGAGGTGTGTACGAAGAAAAAAAAAATCATGTTCTTGTCTTCTTGGCATGTATCCAAAATCTTTGAAACTTACTTGTAGGAACAAAGTTTTATTTCTTGACGTAAATGACTGGATCGACTCACCGAAGAATCTCCCACCGGTGAAGTCTCCGGCAGTGAAACCCTCCGATCAAAGTGGAAGCTACCAAAGGATGAATCCAAAGAGATCGCATGATCCGGAAAACGAAGCAAAATTTTGGGATTTTTTCCATCTTTCGATTGAGAATATTAAAATTATCATCATTGGGAAATAAGTTAGCTTAATGAGGATCAATGCGATCCCTTTGGATCCTTTCTCTAGTTGCTGTGAAGAACTCTCTCTCTCTCTCTCTCTATCTAAGTGGGAGCAATGGTGTTTTTCTCGAAGGCCATGTATATAAAAGATGGCCATGTATATAAAAGATGGCCATGTTCCTCTTCTTGTTAAATAAATAAATAATTTTTTACCAAAAATAAATAAATAAATAAATTTCTTATTAAATTCTTTTTAATTTCCACCTTCTCGTCTTTAAACTTACTTTTTAATTATTACTATTTCCACTTTGAGGGTTCCTCTATATTTGACTTGAAAGAGTAAAAAAGACGTCTACAGTTTAGACGAAAATTTGTGGTTTTAAGGCTCTTAACTCATGATTTATATCTTATTCCGTTATTAATATTATCTTTCAACGTTTTATGAACATACACGTCGCAATGTACAACATCATTTATGGGATTAATTAAGATGTGATT